TTTTTTCCAATTAGCCAGGTCACATGCCACTAGATTGTGACAATATGTTGGTGAATGCCCATACCCCTATGGCAGGAACTGAAAAGTCAACTGCCTGCCTCCCCACATAAATGCAAACTGATCTTGCGATTCTTCAGCAATTGGGATACTGAAGAACACATTTGCTAAATCTAGGACACAATTATAGGTTTTTATCTCCTACTTAATGTGTCCATTAGGGAGGCAATATTGGGTACGGCCGCGTGAATAGGCAGCATGACCTTATTTAATTCTCTGTAATCCACTGTCATTCTCCACGTGCCATCTGGGGGAACTATATGGGCTGTGTGCAGGACTTCTAATGCCCACTTTTTCTAATGCTTGCACCATTCTCAATATTTCATCTTGCCCACCCAGGAGTCTGTACTGCCTTACATTAGTAATCCGGTGTGGTTTCGGCAGGCAAATAGGCCCATGTTTCACATGGCTTCTTAATATTGCCTATACCTCCCAGATACCGATACATCTCTGTCAAAGTCTGAACTCTCCTACAGTTGTCTGGAGAGCCAGACCCCATAGAATATCTATACCCAAGATGTATTCCTGGACTGGGACAATAGACACCTTATACTACCGAGGTGGGAGATGCCCAACCCCCAGTTTCAACCATGTTTGGGTGACAGGAATAGTCTGTCCCTCAAAACCACCAATCATCACTCTGTCTCCATCAAATTTGCTCAGATCTCTGTAGATAATTGATGTTTCTGCTCCAGTGTCCACTAATGCCATAACTCTGAATATTTTTTCGGGACCAATAAATCATTAATTCTACATAGGGCCTCCAGTCCTCTCTGGCAGCCCTAGGGGGATTAACATCCCTCATCACGCCATGAATTGTGCTATGGCCAATTCTTTTGCGTCTGGTGGCTCAGGCATTGTAGCCCGAGACACCTGAGGTGGCTTTTTTTTTTTTTCCTATGAGGAACAATGAAATCTTCTAGGTTCCATGTTGTTGGTGGTATTCTCTCTATAACCCTTACCCTTGGTTTCTTAGGGTAGTTCTGAAATTTTTGGTTGTCCTTTAGTTGTCTCCAAAGCTGGAGAAGGACATGGTTGGGCTGGTGGTCAATCTCAGCAAATTGGATCCCAGCCCAAATTAAGTCATTAAACATTTGTTTTAGGGAGACCCTTATGGGTCCCAGTTGAGGAGCTTGAAGAGCCTGTGTTTTGGTTTTAGTCACTGGCAGGACCTCGGCTTCTTCTAATGTCCAAGTGTTGCGCCTGGTCTGCAGGCGTTCTGTTTCTCGTAGGTCAGCCACTAACTGGGCAGCCTGCTGGACTACTGCTTCCGAGGCCACCAGGGGATTTAATACAGAGACCCAAGTACCATGCAGATGAGAGGGAGCTTGCTGTAGAATTAAGTCTCTCATCCCTGCTGAGAATTTGACGATATCAGGGCCATCAAAGGTGTCTTCATAAATTGCTTCCCTTACATCTAGTTCACAGATATAATTTTGAAGGTCCTCAATGGAGGACCACATCCCTGTATGTAGAGGTATATCAGATTTATTGGGCCATACCATACAGCAGGCTGCCATTAACCATTCTATTATAGAATGGTTTTCATCAAGATATTGATTACCCGCATATAACCTCTGCCTGAGAGCAGGATGGACAGTCATGGTGGCCAACTTGGCTACTTCCAGGCCATTCACCAAAACAATTTCTGCCCCAGAATCCCACAGTCACAATAACCAAGCTGGCACACTTCTCTAGGCTTCTGCCGAAATCGCTGTACTAAATCCATCAATTCTGTTGCCATGTACAGCTGGGCTGTTACATGCAAGTGAGTCTGGTCAGAGGGTCACAGATCAGGCGGCACCCCTGCCGGTCTGTCCTGTACTTTGTTTTCTGAGTTATGACAGGATGGAGTTCTAGTGGATTTGTCGAAATTGGAGATTCAAGATCTAATCTAAATTTTTTATTTTCCTGATCTAAGTCCGCTGATTCAGGAGTCTGGCCATTGTCTATTGAAATGTTACGAACTTGACCTATGGGAAGACGCAGAATTGGTTTCTTCCCTGTTAGTATGCCAAGTTCTTGTTCTAATTTTTTGATATGGTCTTTCAGAAGTTGGTTTTCATTCTCTAAAGCATTATTCCTCATTTCAGCATGATTTAAAGCATTTAATAGTGGCTGTGCCACTGTGGAGGTAGCTAATTCTCTTTCTTTTGCAATTATTATATCTTTGTTAAGTCTCCAAAAGTAATCTGCCATGCAATATGGAGAGATATTTCCCACAACATGTAGGGGACCCCATTTTTCAGTTATTATGAACTGCTAGTTCATAATAGGGAGATCCCACAAATCCTGGGATCTCCCCTAGAATCATTTTATCTAGGGTGGGAAGCATTCTCCCGCCAACCCATTTATAGAAATGACACAACATAGATTTTAGAATATTTGGCCTGTCTGGCTCACCAAGCATATAGTCAATGAATATAAAGTTGTTATAATTATAGAATAAACAAGAGAGTTTGACAGAGCAGAGTATAATAACAAAAAGAGAATAGATTGAGTGTTTACCCTTATCCTGGGCTCACTGTAAAACTCCAGAGGAGGGATCCCCAGAAGAGATTCTTCCCTACTGGTAGTCAGCACTTAAATGGGTCTAGGAGAGGTGGAGCCAGGCTCCACCCCTTCTGATCACACAGGTGAATTGCCTTCACCTGTGCTCCGGTGGCTGATTTATTGATCACCTGAGGTGATCAATCAGAGGTTCAGGCCATGACTTAGCAGTTCCCATACAGAGGGCAACTGTAGAGTCTTGCATCTGGGCAGGAACAACCCCGAGTACCAGTACAGGCTGGGGTCTGATCTGGTGGAGAGTATTGTGGAGAAAAGGGATCTGGGGGTCCTGGTGGACGGCAGCTAGCACTGTGCCCTTGTGGCAGTGTATTAGAAGGGGTGTGATTAGTAGGTCAAGAGAGGTTCTCCTCCCCCTCTATTCTGCCCTGGTGAGAACACATCTGGAGTATTTGTCCAATTCTGGGCCCCTCTTTTCAAGGAGGACAGGGATCTGTTTGAGAGAGTCCACCACAGAGACACAGATAATTAGAGGAGTGGAGCATCTCCCTTATAAGGAAAGGCAGAGGGAGCTGGGTCTCTTTACTCTCTGGGGAAGATGAGACTGGGGAATGACGTTGTTAATGTTTATAAATATGTAAAGAGTGAGTGTCAGGCTCAGTGACATCCAATGACAGGACAAGGGACAAGGGGTGCAAGCTGGAACATAGAAGGTTACACATAAATATAAGAAAAAATTTCTTCACAGTGAGGGTGTTCTTTACAGAACACTGGAACAGGCTGCCCAGAGAGGTTGTGGGGTCTCCTTCTCTGGAGATACTAAAAACCCACGTGGACGCATTCCTGTGTGACCTAATCTAGGTGTTCCTGCTCTGGCATTGGGATTGGAGTAGTCTTGCATGATGTTATGACATGGAACACCTGTGGAAAACTGTGATAGGCTGGAAATCTGTACAGAGAAGGATCTGGAGGTGTTAGTTGACAGCTGATTGAACATGAGCCAGTGTGGCCAAGAAGGCTGATGGTGTCCTGGCTTTTATCAGAAATAGTGTAGTCAGCAGGACTAGGAAGGTGATCATCCCTCTGCACTCAGCACTGTCGAGGCTGCACCTTGAAAACTGCGTTCAGTTTTGGGCCCCTCACTACAAGAAAGTCACTGAGGCCATGAACTGTGTCCAGAGAAGGACAGTGAAGCTGGTGAAGGGTCTGGAGCATAAGTCTTATGAGGAGTGACTGAGGAAATTGGGATTGTTTGGTCTGGAGAAGAATCAGGAGAGACCTCATATCCCTCTCTACAACTACCTGGAAAGAGGTTGTAGTGAGCTGGGGATCAGCCTCTTCTCACAGGTAGCTAGTGATGGGACAAGAGGTAATAGCTTAAAGTTGCATGAAGGGATGTTCAGGTTGGACTTTAGGAAAAATTTATTCTCTGAAAAAGTGGTGGAATATTGGAGCAGGATTCCCAGGGAGGTGGATAGTATCACAACAGCTGAAGGTTTTCAAGAAAAAGGTAGATGTTTGCGCTGAGAGACATGGTTTAGTGAGCATAGTAGTGGTGGGTTGATCTTAGTGATCTTTTCAAACTTTCATGTTTCTATGATTGTGTGTTTTGAAAGCGAAAGAAACCAATTTGAGACCTTTGCTAAAGACTTTATTTTGTTACAGAAAACTCCTTATAACTTCTGTCATGACTCCGTAGTCTCATTTGAACCATTATTATTCTTTGCCCCTGACTATAGACTGCAGTATCTGTAATTGTTAACCAAATCCCAAGGTGCTGCACTGAATTTACCTTGCTCAATGATTTGTAATAAATTTGTAAATAGGAGGAAGGAAAGGGTAAAGGGAAAAAGTACCTCATTTGTGAGATATCAGCTGTTCAAAATCTATCACCACCATCTCCTGACATGTTTTATCTGCAAAGACTTGATGTGCAGCACAAAGATAAACTTGTTTCAGGTGCTGGAATATGCTGCTCAGGAAAGTGGTAGAGTCACCGTCACAATTCTATGTGGCTCTAAGAGATTTAGTGGGCAATATTATTACTATGATTTAGTGGGCAATATTAATGATAGGTGTACAGTTGGACTTGATTATCATAGAAGTCTTTTTCAGCTTTAATGATTCTACGATTTTGTGATTGTTCAAATAGTTTTCTGGTATGATACACTAGAAAGATATTTGAGGGAACATGCAGGTACAAGTATTGCCTTACAGACTTGGGGAGATATGTAAACACCTTGCCAGTGTGCAGCTCCTTTAGCAGAGAAGGGACATTGTTTGTCTATGACATTATTTTGTGTCAGCTGCTCTTCTAACTTTCTTGTAACTGTCTCCTATTCCCTTGAGAGATTAATGCTTCTACTCCTTAAAACTCTTGAAAAAATAAAGTAAGTTGAGTTTTTTCATTTCATTGCTTATTTCTTTTCTTTCAGCTTCTTGCCTGATTACATCAGTGGTGACTTCGACTCCATCCAGCCTGAAGTCAAGGCGTACTACAAGGTTAAGGTAAAGCACTATCCCTTGGATGTGTTTGTGTGTGTTAGAGTGTTGTAGGATCCAACCCCCTACTGCTCCCGTTGGTTATTAGGTATTTTTAGCTCTCGTTGGTGTCTTTGGGTCTTCGGAGAGGCTTAGATGTGCTCTGCCTCTCACTGTAGTGATGCTTAAAGTAAAGACAGGAGCTGCATTACTGCCTGATTCTTGTGTTAGATGTAGTTTCATAGCACCAGCTCAAGAAATAGAAGGTGTATTACTGGAGATTATAGCGACAAGAAACTATGGTAAAAGTTCTTGAAAAATATGTGACTTTCTTTGCCATGTAGAGATACAGAGCAATAAAGATAAACTTCCCAAGTTTAGCACGTTACTTTCATACAACAGATTTATTTTTCCCTTGAAATGTGTGCCTAGATCTTCAGGTCTTCAGGTAGTTAGGTTTTCCTGAAATAACAAGAATATTCTGCTGGCATTTGCTAATATTCCTGCTCCCACTCACTGCTGAGCTACCTCTCCTGTCCCAGCAGGCAGAATGCTGACCTGCCTGCTCCTGAGCTTCCTGTAATATGCAACTGTCTTGAGCTGCTGCCAGGCCATGGTTATCAGTGATGTGCACTGTAGCTACAACTTGAGCTTTATCAGCATTCATACTGTGTACGCAGAATGTTTTGTGCTGTTGCAAAGATTTTCCATATATACCTAATGTAACTTATTCTCAACTGTTACACAAAATAAAAGGGAATAGGGTGCCAGATGGAGGGTGGAGTACTCCTTTGCATGTATATAACTAATTAAAAAATGAGTCTAGAGAGAGAGGGAAGCTCTAACACATAGCAGTTTGAGTAGAGTGTGAATGGAGTGAAAGTAAAGGAAGCAGAAAGTGCCAAGAGGTGTTCATCCTTCGCAATCCCCTGTGTCTTTCAGTGTGATGCGCAGTAAAAAATTGTGCCCACTGTTCTGTCTACTCTTTCTGACTTGCTTGATGTAGGTCCAGCTGCCAGGTAAAGGGCGAGTGGTGCTGAAGCTTCCTTTGGTATTTCAATTGCAGTGGTTTAATTTACGTGAGGAGATAAGGTAATATTTTTTCTTTGTGTTTGTGAAGCTGAAGGTACATTTCCTTTTGTATTTTTTATAAATGTGCTGTATTGTTCTGTTAGGTTTTATATATGCGATAGAGTGTCAGTGACTTATTGACAGAAATTAAAGCATTTTAACTTATTTTATCTATCTGAGGGCAGCAAACCAATGGTTAAGAGATGTTACTTTTTTGTAGTAAAGTTTATGGATGTTGACTATTAAGTTATATTCACTTGTGAGCAGTTGTGTCAAATAGACTTGTGTAGTGCTGACTAAGAAGAGGGAATGTTATACTCTGCATGAAACAGGATTCTGTAAAGCAGATGTAGGTCCTTTAAGCAGTTGTATCGTCATGAAATAATTAGAGATCTGACTCCCCCTTCACACTAGCTTCATGCCAAGATATTGCTACAAGTCTCAGAAGGTATTCTGCCTCATTTAAGTGATGAAAGTGATAGCAAATCTATGCCATTACAGAAAACATGGCTTACATATTCCCAGAGACAAAGGGAAATCTTTAAGCCAATTCCTCTGATGTGCTTAGCTCATCAAGGATTAGATGACAAGTGTTTCCATTTTCCTTTAAGAAGGATAATCACCATTGTGTCAGGGAACTTTATCTAAATAAAGGCTATAGAATGGTTTCATTTGTTCATCTCTGTTAGGCATGGCATGCCATAGTAAGTGAAGAGATGGAAATGACACTGCACTATAGAGAACTTGTGATAGTTCTGTTGCTACATGCTCTTCTACTTCTTGCTTTAGCTGTATGTTTCTATTATTGAAACCTTTTAAAGCATCACTTTGTGATCAAGCAGCCATTTGTATTGAAGAAGACTCAGTTTTGAAAGGTTTTTAGATCAAAGACATTAACTAAAGTTATGGTTAACCTGTACTGATGCCTGGAAACAGAAGGTTGAATGCAGTGCCTTCTAAAATCCAGATTGGGCATTTTAGTGAGAATCCAGTTCAGCTTTTCTACTGAGCAAACTGCATGTGCTTTAGAAGGCTTCTATGGATTTAGTAGGCACTACTTCAGATCTGTAATGAAATGCTGTGGATATATTTACAACTGCACTCTTTTTCCTTTTGTCTTTCTTTTTTAAACCCCACAGAACCACTGATATTTACAGGCAGTTCTGTAGCTGTAGCATTTTCTCTTTATTTTTTCTATTACATTTCTAGGTTCAATGGTTATGAAAACGCTTAATAGACATGGTATGAACACTGCCTTTCTGTTTTATGATTATCTACTTATAATTAGATTTATGAATTGTATTTGTATGGCAGAGCTGTTACATCTCTAGCTAATATGCTGCCTTGCTTAAATGCAGGTTTTGATGACATTCTCTGCCGACTTTCTGAGGTCAAAACTTGTAATAATTTTCAAAGTTGATTTCCCTCAGTTATATTACTTAAATCCATAAAAGTATTGTTTTTCTCTGACTACTTTAACTTATCCTTTATCTCTAAACTTCAGTATTTTTTCTAAAACTGAATTTTGTATGTAAGATGGGAATTAGACTATTAAGAAGTTTCACTCCTAGCATTTTTCTTACACTAAACGGGCTTGTAAGAAAGCATGTTTCATTTTAGAACTTGATTCTTTTGTGAGAGGTTTCAAGGTTTTGGGGGGAGCTGTACAATTGTGCAGGTGGATATAAAGTAATCCTGTCTTGCTGTAGAGAAGCAGTTAAGTTTCCAAGTGATCTTGATGTTACGTGTTCTGCTGAAGACATGTCTGACATCAATATAAGAAGTGTTGTGCCTACCTCTGTTGAGCTTCTGACATGATGAGAGTGATCATTGCCACCTGGACCACATCTCCAGTTGTTCACCTTTGTTCTGAGATGCTGAAAATTTCCTTTAATAGAATCATAGAAACACAAGGTTGGAAAGAACCTACAAGATCATCTAGTCCAACCATCCCGCTATCACCATTATTACCACTAAGCTACTAAATCATATCTCGTAGCACACCATCCAGATGTCCTGGTCCCCTTAACTTTGCTCTAGTCCCCTTAACTTTGCTCTAGTGAGTAAGACTAGCAGGCTGATCTGGTATAGTAGGACCTGGCACACACACCATCTTTTGAACGATTTTCCACCCCTAAGTGTACTGAAGCCAGCAGTGGGGAAATGTTCCTGCTGCACCCCATATCTCCAGTTGAGCTGTGCATGGGCTGCAGCCCTCATAACAGCAGTTATTCCTCATCATGCTGACCTCTCACTTGCTAAGGAACCTCATATCACATCCCATTACTTATCTACAGCGTTCAAAGGAGAAACCACCATTCAGAGGGTTCCCATTGTATGCAGTTTTCCCTCAAAGCCTGTTCTGTGTTATCATATGGCAGGGAAAGACAGCAGAAAATTCTTGGTGCATGACTAATATTTAGGTCTTTTCCATCACAGTTCTGTGACTGGCTGTCACCTGCATGATAGCTCTTACCATAAGCACAGACTTGTCAGCTATGTACCTGAGAGGTATAACTTCTGAGCCTTCAGAAGGAATTAGCTGCCTGTCTGTCAGCTCACCGAACACAGCTGCCAAATACCATTGACAGCCAAACACCCCTCACTTGCTCATTGAAAGACCCTCAGTGTCTTAATGTAGATATAGGTTCATCAGGTTAAAAATTTTCATAGGTTAATAGTTCAAACTGTATATGCAATTTAGGATTTGGAACTTTCTATGTGCCTTTGTCATGAAATCATTAAACAGAGTTGTCATAATTTGTTTCTATTCTCGAATAGTATTTCAGAGGTCTTGTTAAGATTGCATTTCCAAATAAGTTGTGTGGGTGATTTGGGTTATGTGTTTTTTTATTCATGTCAAACCAAAGTAATATCATAGTGTTTCAGAAATACCATAAATTCTTCGGAGATGCTGTGCTCAGTGGCACTTCTGTAGAGCTGTACATGTTTGTACTCATCAGTTGCTGGCAATGAAGTCAGAATGCTGTAGTGGGCAGTGGTTTTCTTTTTCTGAGTTTGCCCTTCTGTCTATCAGAATGTCAGCATGTCATTTCCTTGAGCTCATTCCTCCCAAATGGAAAGAAGTTGTAAAGCTATGTTTGATTTTTAGTTGCTTATTATTTTAATTGTTATTCCTTGCATTACAATATGCCTTGTTGCAATACATGATGACTTCAGTTAATTTTCTTTTGATTTAGGGAAATGTGTTTCTACTGGTCCACGCGAAGACTAGGCATTCACAAAATCTATTTCATCTTTATAATTCTTGGACTCATCAGTGATCAGTTCAGTGTTGTAGCTAAATAAGTAGGAATTTGCCTTTCGTAGAGAAGGAGAAATATAGCAGGAAAGAAGTCTGCAGAACTGAAGGAAAAGAAGGAGGGGTGGGTCATTTGAAATGCCGAGTACAGAAGCTGACCTGCAAAACTGAGCTAAGGATACATAGCAGTTAGCATTCTCCTTCTGAACTGTATGTAATGATCTGAAAACAATGACAAACTCCAAGAAGGAATAATCTCACATTAGGCAAAGATATTTTCTGCTTCTTGTAACACATGGCTTTTACATTGAGGCTGAGAGGGTTTTTAGAAACTGTAAGACAAAACAATAAAACCGTATACACAGCTCAACTAGAAGTTACACAGATAAAGGCAGGAGGCTGTTCATAAAGGAAAACTAACAAGCAATTGGAAGTAATCAGTGACTTTCTTAAAGGTTTAAGTCTTAGGACTAATCTTGGTATTTTCATTAACACACCAATACTAAAGGAAGAATGTGCTGATGAGTTGTATTGATAGCACAAATTTTGGAGTTCTGAACACACGTAGGACAAAATTTATCTTTTCAATTTGCTGTCTCCAGAGATTTAAAATCTTTGAATTCCTTTGTATTCTTTTTGTACATGTAGGCAGAGCTGTGTTATTAAGCATCATTTTTGTGAGCTTTATGCACAT